TCTTTTTAATATTGCTCTTGCATATATGCAATCTCAAATTCTAATACTCACATTTAAGTCTATTTAAATATTTACTAGCTGATTTGTCCAGAGCACCAGAAAGGTTTCCTTCTAAAGACTTTTTACATGCAATATTTAGATCAGTGGCAGGCAATTATTTCAATTAGAATTATCTTAACTATGTAGCACTTTCATCTCAAACAATTCCAAAATGCTTTACAAACTGTCACAATTTATACACAGCTTGCTTTATCCGCTGCTGAAGTGCAGCCACCCTGGGTGAAACACAGCAACTATTCAACACTGCACAGCGGCTTGGGGCTGGAAATTGAGGATCTCTCTGTATTTGTAATTGCAGTGGGAAATTAGGTAGGCTGAATGTAATTACCTGAGCTGGAATTTGGCCAGCAGACTGAAGTTAACACACCTACTCTTCTGAAGAGTTCCCTGGGATTGCTAATGACCAATTTGGGTAGGACCTTCCATTTATATCTCATCTAAAAGAAAACTCCTACAGGAATACAATGCCCCTAGCACCATTTTTGTGCACACCTATTGCACTGACAGGAAGAAAGGAGGAGAGCTGGCATGTGACATGTACTTGGGATTAGCAGTTATAGAGCTCAGAAAATATATTATTCAGTTAACATTTATATTTTTCTTTTTTTTAAGTTTGCTGGGTGAGTAGGGTTGGATAACTACCTTAAGTGAGAACATGTATAATGCAGGAATTACAGAACATTTATATATCTATAAGGCCTTCTGTGAGAAGCACATCATATTTCTTACACTTTTGGCTGAGGCGTAGAAAAGATTAAGTTTACTTAATTGTCCTCATTGTATTCCTTTTTATTATCCATGTAGAATGAGAAGCTTTATATTAAAGCTGTTTTGTATGGTGCATTTCAATGTATATAATAGGCACCTATAGAGGTTAATCAATATAAATTAGTAGCTGGCATAATTATGTGTGCCCAATCCTGATGAGGTATGAACTAAAAAAGCTCTAAAAATTCATCTGGAAAGAGAATTTTTGATACTTGTTTAATCTTTCAAAAGCAGAAGGAGTTTTCTGAGGCAAGGATGTTGTTTGCCTATAGTAGTGTTTGTGAGTATATGTCTTGTAGACTTTCCTACTCACTCCTACTTCCTTTCCTAAAAAGTAAAATTTTTCCTCAAGTGTTACTGAAAAATAACTGGGAACAAGAGTCATATGGGGATTTTTATGTGATACCATGCTAAATAACGCTATACATTGTGTTCCTCATAAATTCCAGACATGTAGTCATTCTCCAAGTGCGTAGATTTTCAAAGAAAATATGTTCTGTGAATTACAAATAATTGCTGTCCTTTCTCTGAAGTTCACATAAAATGAACTGAAATGATCCCACTGAATTGCAGAGCAAAACCAGTGGGTATATTTTCAAGAGTTAAATTAAAATATGAGATAACAGAAGAAAGAGCTTGAAAATAGAAAAGCTGAGCGTACCATCTTCTTTAGGTAGCATAGATAGCTCTAGAATAAGCTAGTGGACTTCATGGTGTATGAGGAATAAGCCATTAGATAGTTCCTTAACTGTATTGAAAACAGTGAACAAATAGGTTATAATTTTGTTATTAAATTTTTGCCATATCATTGTTTTCATATGATATGAATATAAAAGCCCCCATATTTTCCTTTTACATTTACGCAGCAATGGTATATAATATAAAGTATATTCTCTGAGATGTTCAATGCCAGTATCCTCTGGCATCAGTTGTTAGGTGGTCAAATATCAGAATTCTATTAATATCAGAAATCTATTACATTATTACAGTAATGTACTGTACTGAGACATTCTCTGAGGGAGGTGACATGAGATTTTGGCCAGTCATAATTAAAAACAAAGTTTGAAAGAATTTTGGGGATCAGCCTTTTGTCCAGAGAGAAAGGGAGAAACTAATGTCCAAGAGGAGTAACCAGATGGGTTAGCGTCTTGGTAAAAGTTAGTGAGTTTGTATGAGTGGCTATCCTCATTTTTGTTACAGTACTACAAAACATGGCAGTAGAATCTTTCCCCCCCTGGCATGTAGATTGTGGGAGAATGAATCCTGGAAAGAAAGACTCTAGAGGCAGGTCTATCACAGCAGCAGATCTCCAGGATCAAGTGGAGTGGAGAAACATTGACTACTTGCATTTTTATTGTACGGTTCTCCCCTGAATTATGTAATCCCCCTTACCCACGTGGTCCCCCTGTACAGCGTCATGTTGTCTCCCCTCCTCAAAGAGGTCCCCACCCCTGCACAAGCATTACTGGTTGTCTCCTCTGTTTCTCCCCAATCCCTGGTTTGTTACTGGACTTTGGTCCTCCTGTATCCCCCACTGGTTAGCAGAGCCCTCAAGCCACTCCCTTTCTCCCGGACCTTTGCCCAATCATGTTCCTCTTTCTAAACCCTCCCCTGGAAACCTTAAAAGCCTATGGGAGTTTTGAACAAACAACTTTTTGCCGCTAGAATCTAGAGAAGAAACCTCGTGGCTCTTTCCTCCTGGTGAAGGGCGATCACGCCACAGGAACCCTCTCTGAGAAGCTGCTAGCAAGCAGCTGCAAGCAATCAGCTCTGTCAGCAGAAGAACTAGTTCTTCCAAAGTCAGCAAAGTCTAGCTTCTGCTGAAATAGAGTCATCTGTGACAGTTTTCTGATAAGGAGTGAAGGAATAAGCTTCAGACCTTTATGACTCAACTATCACAGATAATGTTCTTTCCAGGTAGCTTCTTTTTCTTGCTTCCTTACTTTCGCTTTAGTCACAGAGTCAGTATTTCTATATACTTTTCCATACTTCATATACGAAAACTGGAAGTGTTTTCCACTTTGATATCTAGGGAATTCTTTGTTATTGTAGAAGGAAAACTAACCTCTTAAGATGATGTGTAAAATCATTCATATTAATTGCTGATGTGGACATGGCCTTCTCTGCCTGAATACATAAACTGAATATGAAATATTTCAAGGCGTCTTGTCGAACAACTGAAATACAGCCTTTTGCTCTCACTGGAATGTACCCATCAGAGCTGAAGCTGTATCAGCGGTGTTGCTAAAAAATGCTTCCATTCTTTATGTCTCCTGAAGCTTTTTCTATATTCTTATCAACCACTGCAGTAATACTGAGGAAGACTCAAAGCTAATGCAGCATGTGATAGAGTGATTCTATTTGCTTCAAGAACTCAGCAACTGCTCCTGTGATGATTGTGGATATGGGAACTTACTGCTTGGAGCATTCACGTTACAAATACGTACATCACTCAAAGATAGAGAAAGGTACCACTTTCTGATCACTGAAGTTCTTCAGGTTTTGTAATCCACATATAAATTATTCTTATCCTTGTATCCCTCCTTTCCTATCCTTGAACAATCTTCTTTTTTTTTCCTTAGGATTCTATAGTAGAGTACAAAATGACATTTTGTGTAGCTCCTTTTGCCTGTTTATGCGCTGACCATGTTCTCGTGACACTGAAAGAGATCTCTTCTTTAGTTGTGACAGCACATCCACACACAGACGAGGGTAAAAGTACATTTAGGAGGTATTTCTCAAAAAGTTTTCTGATAGTTGCCCTTTTTTGGTCCTGGGTTTGATTCTGAAATTGTTTGTAGAACATGCTGGTTTGTGCATTTACTTTAACATTCCTAAAACTCAACTTTGGCTTATCCCAAACATAGGAATGTAGTTTCTTTCTCAGTAACCATGTCTGTGAGTTCAGTTGTGTTAACTACATTGAAGCTACAAGAACGAGCAAATTAGACTGAGTTACTGTTTTTATGTGAACAAGTACAATTGCTGTGCCATTATTGTAGAAAATGACACTTCTGAAGAGAATGAGCAGTACTAAAAACCAAAACAGTTGCAGAAAAGCAGGGACTTTGTTGTTAGAAAAAACAGCTGGCTTTACAATTACTGTTATATCAGTATTGGATCTAAATATATCCTGAAGTCCAATGACAATTATTTTGAACAGGCTATTTAATATATGAATGTTTTCTATAATATAAATAAAATTATTATATACATTATCTCCAGAAAAAATAATTAAATGTATTCATTATTTAAATAATTTCTGAGATGCTGTTTGATGCAATAACTAAAAAATGTAGAAAAAAATGTAGAACTATTGTGTGTCTGTATACATGTTATAGGTACTTGCTTAGAAGATATATTAAATACCCATGTACCCTGTTTTATACAGAAAATGTCAGATTTCACACATCTGTTGAACTGACATGATTCTGTAAAATTCTAATGAGGAAAAATAGCTACTCAGTTTAAAATATTTGCTATAGTTGTCTTTTTTTGTTTATAAGAGTTACTGTAAAATGGTAATCTGATTTGAAAAGTTCCAGGAACTTTTGCCACTATGTGGAAAAGTGTTTTTCTTTTCAGAGCATTATCAGTTTTTTAAAATCAGTGTTTAATAAAGAAGCCTCACTACTAAGTCTTTAACAATCTCATGTAAGTAGTTTGTATGAAATGTTGCAATTTACATAAACTATTATTATATTTTCATTTTATACAGTTACTGCACCAGATTTTATGAGACTGTTTATGATTTGAAGTTTGGCTTCTTTGAGGCTTAATCTGAATGGTGACATATGCTGTACAATGAACATCCGGTGGAAGTTGTTATAACCTTCTGTCTCTTAGTGGGTTTTTTCTGATATTGATACCTTTGGGGTTTTTTTTCTCCAGTAAGTGTTGTCTTCACATGCAGTGGCCAATGACAAAACTGTTTTGGAAGATTACTTCTCATAAAACTTGACCATGTTCTTGGTGTCTTTATGTGATTGATCTCAGTGTCCTGCATCTTTTCTGCTGTTCATATGTTGGGGACCATCATAATATTTATGTTGTAGGTTTTAGACAACGAAGGTTTACATAAAAAGACAAATCTCAAATTTCACTCTAAAGAAGACAACTGAAAGGAAAACTCCTAATCTCTGTTTCTTGGAATGTCTGCCAAGGACTCTCTGTTGGGTTGGGGAATAAGAATAAGATAATCTTTCAGGTGTCCTGTTAGCAAGATTCTAGTATGGTAGAGAGAGTGTGAGGTGCAAACATAACTGTACAGACGACCTCAATATTACATTGATGGAGAGCTGAACTATGCTCTTACTGGTGTATTTTACCTGGAATGCAGACTTGTTCTAATTTAAATTCTGATATTCTATTAGATTATAGTCATAATATAGTCTATGTTTAAAATTCAACTTCCATAATATTTAAGGATACAAGATGCTTCTGAGGTTTTTATTGAGAAAGGTGATGGAGTTGACAGAAAAAACCTGTCATTTATAAAAATTAAGTTTTGTTCAATCTTTCATTATATGTTTAGTTTTGGTTAGTGAAGGTTTTCTAAACTGTCTTTTTTCAAAATTTTAAACCGCCTATTGGAGCAGAGAGCAGCAGAGATGCATTCTCTGTTATTTAAAAAATCTGGAAAGAATAAGGTGAGGAGAAGAGATTTTTTTCTGCTTCATCTTGAAATGAAAGAGGTGTTTTCTTCATTGTAAAAGATAAAATAAATCTTTTAAGGTAGTTTATGCACTATAAATATTACAGTACGTGTTTTTATCTTCTTAATTATATCAATATTAGCAAAAGAAATAAAAGTAAATAAGTCAACAGTTCTCCAACGTCAGTTAATTGCTTTTATTATGATTGTTTGTATAGACATGACTACAAAAAATGCAGTGGTCAAGAAAATTTCAGCTGAGAAGTCCACTGGGCATCAGTCATGCATTATCACTATGGCAGTGTTCAGGAAAGCCAAATGGCTTGTCCATAGACCAAAGTACATAACTGACATTAGCCAAAATATTCTTCTACAGCATTTCATTTAGAGCATTACTTTAGAACAAAATATCAATGTTGATTTCCATCAGGGGATTAGTTAGTAGTAATAATTTTTCAAAGAATTATGAAAACTTCTGGGTGCCAAGTATGAAAGCTGATTCCTCTAACTGTGTGGAAATGAAAATAGATAAATTTCAAAACCATAATTAAATGCTAATATTTTTATGGTTGATTACAGTGTTTTTAAAAATAAAATACGTTATTCTGTAAAATAAAAAAATAAAATAAAAAAATAAAATCCAGTTTATTTTTTATGTTTCAAGTAATGAAAGAACAAAATATTTTTTAGTTTCCAATTAATTTAATAGAAATTCAAAACAGCTTCCTTTATTTGCACCTTTGTCACTTCAGAGTCAATGTGGTCATATGAAAGATGTGTAGAAGTAACAGATATTGTGTTGAATATTGCTGTTTACTTCTTTGATACCTTTCTCACTTTAATTTTTACAGCTGTAAAATTGAAAGAACATTTGGTTTTGCATTAGCATCAGAATAAGGAGGTTTATTATTTATTTGCTTCATCTACTCTGCATAGTGCCATTATTGCAAAAATATTAGTCTTTGTAATGACAAAAAGAAAGTGTGTATCTAATGACCTTACTGTGAGTAATTAGTGATACAGATTTGTCCATTCCTAAATATATAAGAAAATGGAGAGCCTTTATAAATCTTTAACAGGTCATAGTAATATAAATAAATGGACATTCCCATGCAGTTTCATCTTTTCCAAAATAGCATTGCAAGTGAAGTTCTCCCTCATAACATGCTCTAAAAATATTGGCAGGTATATATAATCAAACTGTGATGATATAGAAGAAAAATTAATGATGCAATAATAGGGAAATAAGTTTGTGTTTAACAGTCTAAAACTATGTTATGCAGAAAACAATAATGAAATCATAAACTCTTTTCTTTTTTTCTCTTCAGACAAAGCATATAAACTTAAGTATAGAGGATAATGTAGGATTGAAAAAGTTCATAATTCTATGTAATTTCAAAATCTTTTTTGTATTTATATCAATTTTAGCCTGAGTTTTAATACTCAGTGAATGTGAAATTGTATTTCATTATATTTATAGATTGAGTTTAGTCCAAACTAGTAGCTTTTACTTTTTGTGAAATAAAAACTTTCTGCATGGAAAAGTCAGCAACACTGAGCCTAAATTCAGTGTTAATGTTTTAGATTACATAACACACTTTGAAGGACCACGTTTTTATTCCTTGTTTTCACACTATTCTCAATAAACGTAAATGTTGGTTTTAAAGCAAATATATTTAAAAAAAAAAAATCTATTGTGATATAAAGGCATTTTGCTATCCAATGCATAACTCTAAAGAATCTGCTCTTTATCTTTTCTGGTCTTTGAATGATTGATGTTTTCTTCCATTAGCATTCAGAACCAATGGATTGGATGAGATCCTCTTTAATCTTCTTCCCTGAATTACTGGCACCTTATATCATAACAATTGCTTATAATTAACTTGTAATAAAAACTCCTAAAGTTACACTTTTCCATAGTTAGCAGCACTGTTCCATAGTTAGCATCAGACTCAAGACCTGTTTCCTCTTCCTTTTTGTTTTATAGTCTGTCGTCATTCATGTTTTCTGCAACAGCAGTATAATTTATTCAATTCCTTTTTGTCTTCGAACTTTGTGTTCTGCTTACTTTAACACTTTTTTATTTTTCACTTCTGTGTAGTCACTAATTCTGAAGTCAGTGTGCATTCTGAAGCTTTATTCCTGACACCACTGGTGGAGTCAGTGACCCCTACTACCTGAAGGCGTCGTGCTTGTGCTTCCAGTTCAGTGCTTTGATACCAATCTGTTGCCATGATATCAAGAAAGAAAAGAACTGTATCTTACTTAAGTGACATATCCGGGTTGCTGCCAGCAAATCCGTACTGAGCCCTAACACAATCATGGCATCAGACACCACGAAGATCTATCTATTATCAGTTCATTTTCTATATCTGCTTATATGATGCCAATTCTTTAGTGTGTTTCCCAACACAATTTTACTTTTTTTTTATTTTCAGAAGTTATTGAAGGGAATTATCAAAACCTTGACATTCATCTCATGTTGGTTCAAGACTCAGAAACTTTCCAGTCTCCTGCATTTCTTTTGAATTCAACTATAAATAATGTATACATGCTTAATAGTAGATGCAGTGCCATATTCTGGCCTTGCAAAATGAAAACAGAAAATGTCCAGTTGCTTCCTAAATATCTTGACTATTGCTTTTCTCCTGCTGAACATCTGCAATCATGACAGATCACAAAATTTAAGTTGAGGCAAAATTCCAGTCGTAGACAAAGCTCTCCTCCATCCTTGATTCTTTCAATAAGAAAAACTGATTTGTCTCCTATGCACAACAAAATTAGTTAATTGTCAAGCAGCACTATTAGGGTACATTTCTATTCAGCAGGGCAGGAACACATTTCAAAATTTTGATAGACACAAGACAGATACTCAAGTCTTACGTTCTAAAAGACAGCTCGTTCTTCCAGTTCAAAGCTTCTTTAAATGTAGCTATCGACAGACCTGATGGTGGAGTATATGCAAAATTCTCTAGAGTTTCATTGAAATCTTCAGAAGAAGAATTCTAGAACACACACTTCTTGACTTTTAAAGAGATTGGACTTCACAAAGGAAAAGATTCCCCCCTGTAATCAGTGTTTCTTGATTGTCGATAAAGATAGGACTAAAAATGAGTAATCAGTTGTGAGATCTGTTCAAATCTTTCTTTAACAGTAATAAATTTAATACACTGCTATTTAGCCAGAGCCATTTATGGTTCTTTTATAGGTGTTTTGATCCCAGGTTGAGTCCTGAAAATTCTGTCAGCAGTAGCAAGCAGATCATCAGATTGCACATGTGTTTCTGATTCTCATTTTTGCAATCTGGAGGTAGATACCTTCATCGGGAAGAGCCCAACTAGATTCTAATTTTTTTCTTTCACATCTAAAAAATCAGTGTCACTACATACCCTGTAAAACAGACTGCTTTCCAGCCTTTAAACTGGTCTCTACCTTACCACCAGGTAGAGTATTTCTAGTACTTCAAATTTTTGCCTTTTTTTTTTTTTTTTTTTTTTTTTTTACATCTTCTGCACCAGTGTAATCATGGCTAAAGGGTACATCAACATAAAATAATCTTAGAACATTCAGGTCTTATTCTATAACCATGAATTCTTTTTATTGTCAATAAAATTTAGTTCATGTGCCAAAAACTAACTTTGGAGAGGTCAAGAATATTTCATATATAGGAAAGACTGTCTATGAAGAAAAATATTTTCCAGCTTTGGCTCACGTGAAGAATTGTATACTATTGTATAGTATTACATACCACTTATTTTGGAATACTTGTAATGTAAAGCAGACAGGTCTGTGCTTATATTTGCCTATATTATTTTAGTAGCTTTATTATTTTAGTAGCATTTTGTTCATTATTATTTTATCAACATTTATTATTTGTATAACTCAACATCCACATAAATTTTTTCCCAAACATTTAGTGCATATCTGGATTTATTCCCCATATTAATTCTCCATTTGAGTCCTTATAAGAATTAAACTTGTGTTTTTTTCCAAACTGTTGGAATTGTCATTTGAAGTGCTGTGTTATCAGTGGAAGGCTACTTGAAGTTACTGTTACTTTACTTTGCAGATACAAAAAATGCAACTTGTCAGAAAATATTTAACATCATATTCTATTGGAAGAATAATTAATTTGTTAAAAATGGTCTTTAGCAAATTATTAAAAAATATGATCTCTCACTTCTCTCTGTCAGTCTGAGTCTATAATTAAACATGCATTTTCTAAAATTCTGCCCAAACATACAAAAAAAAATTCATGCCACAGATGTAAAAAGATATTGTCTTTCAGATGAAGAGTTAGTTTCAGCAACTCTGGACTATGTGGAGTTTTTTTGCTTTGGCTGAGGATACAGGGGAAGACCTGTTTCAGCTCAGAGACCGTCAAAATCTGTATTAGATCAGTATGTAATATCAACAACATAAATCCTCTGACTCGTGTTAGAGCTTGTTCAAGCAGGGCTCAGCTGTTTGCACTCTGTACCTTAAAAGGGTTGCAGCTGTAGAGATTTACTGAGTAGCTACATGATCCTTGGTGCATAAATTACCAAATATCAAATGCTGGTTGCAGCATCAACAGAAGATCAGAAGTAGGGAGAGTGAATCACTGATTATATCAGCTCAAATTCTGTTGTATCTTCTGTGACTTGTAGAGCCCAAACTATTTTCTGATAAGTATTAGTTGCATCAATCAATCCTCAGACAGGGAAAAAACCCAGCACCTCAGGCTTGCTTTACAAGAACTTTCTTTGCCAAAGCTGGGAGACTTGTCAACTCTAATACAATGATCTCGTGGCACTTGCTATCACCGTGTTTCTTATGCCCTGGGAAGGAACACATTTGATGTGTAACAGACGCTATTGGAAAAACTTTGCTAAGCTGCTCCGGGGAAGGTCTGTGGAGTTTGAGGGGCAGATGCACATTAACGCAGTAAATTTAAGATAAATTATTTCTTATTTTGGTGTTCATATTATGAACAGGATATTTTACACCTACAAAAGAAACGCTCATTCTTGCCTCAGGAAACCATTTTCATTCCTCACAACATCAAGTTTAAGTACTATAGCCAATTAATATAGATCCTTTAATAATTAGTTTATTGTGCTGATGCACCTGATTGTCAAAATCAATCGTTCTTATCTTTCAAATAAAACACTGCTGTCAGAGTGACCATTCGAAATGACAATTGACCCTGTAAACCACAAGGATTTATATCATGTTTATGGGTATATCATTATGTTGACAAAATCATTGATCTTAAGATTTGTCTCTACAATTCTTTACATAGAACCATAAAAAAATTCTTGGATCGCTTGCAACACAAAGTGATTGGATTTTCTCCTAGAAATTGTATGTCCCTTTTAAATCTCTGTTTTTGATATTCAGAAGAATCTGTACACCTTAACTACACATAGTGCAAAGAAATATCTTTCATTTGTTTTTAACATGGCCTCTGATAGTCTCACTTCGTTTCTCTAAGCTGTGACTGAAGTTTCATTTCAGTGAAGAGCCATTAAGAAATTCCCCTGAATTACAGGGTGTCTTCCACCAAAAAAAAAGGTAACTTCATCTGAAAATAGAAATGTTGAAAATTTCTTCTTATATTTTGAATTTAATTTCCAGAATGTTTGAAGAGGTCAAATGTACCAGTAGACAAAGACTTATGTACTAGAAGTCTGATCAAGTTTTGCTAAGGAGCAAAAGAACGAACACAAGAATTGTGGTGCTTTTTATTAGTTCACAAGTCTAAAAATTCAGAAGTTTTAGTGCCAGAGATAAAAAAAACCCAAATGTCAGAATCATCTACCTGAATATCTTATGACCAGTTTTGACATTCATATCCCTGTGTTCCTACAATAGCAGAAAGAGGTGTGGTATATATTCTCACATGCCAAGTTTGATCACAGTTTGACCGGTTCATCTCTTTTGTAAAGAAAGAATACTCCTTAAGACTTTTTTTTTCTGCCTATATTCTGGGAAATCCTCTGTAGAAATGTCAGTGAGTGACAGTCAGGTATTTAAAGGACGTGTGCTTTTTACTTTCTGAACTTCATCTCGTCTTTCAGAGGAGTGAGTGAGAGAAAAAGAACCATTTTACTTTATCTGTCTCAGCTGACATAAGCTATGGAATGAAGCAATTTTGGGGACTGGACAACAAGTATAACTGGCCATATTTGGAGAAGGCTATTATCTTCTTTGGTATGTTGTTTTATGTTGCTGAGAATTCAACTGCGCTGGGCAGGGCATGTCTCCAGGATGAAGGACACCACCTCCCCAAGATCTTGCTTTACGGTGAACTTGCCTCCTGATGCCGCAAGAGAGGAGCCCCGAAGAAAAGATACAAGGACTCCCTGAAACAACATCTCAGCCTCGACCACACTGATCATCGTAACTGGTCTACTCTGGCCTAAAATCGGGAGGCCTGGAGACACACCATCTACAACGCAGCTGTTTCCTTTGAGAACACATGCAGGACCACTCTCAAGAAGAAAAGACAACGCAGAAAGAATCGTATCCTGCTGAATACACCACCTAAGGAGTCTTTCTGCTGTGCCTTTTGCAATCGGATATGTCTATCTCATATCGGCCTCATAAGTCACCAGCGTGCCTGTAACAAACGTGGATAGAGCCTTCCTAAATTTTCGTTCGCCAAGCCCAGCCGTGACGATGATGTTGTTATTCATTCTCAAAATGTCTGGACCATTTTAAATCATACAAAACAGTAGTACTTCACTGGTTTGTAGTAAGGTATTGGTGAAAAATACTGTATTGATGTTCATAGTCTACAAGAAAACTTTTCTGTCATTTTCCCATATTCCTTATATATGTGAAAGTACTGTGATGTTGAAAATATTACGTTTGCAGGTATTACATGTAAACATATTAACATCAAGCAGTCTGCATTTTCTAAGGAAGCCTAAAAAAGAGGTTTCACTGCTGCCCAAATATTAATCAAGAAGATAATCACATCTTACTCCCTAAAAGTTTTGTTTTATTATTTTGAGATTTCTGATAGACACATAGTGTTATAAAATTTTAATGATGTAGAGATTGACAGTTCTGTACAGGAATAATTTTTAGATTTAGTTGCGTAACCATGACTAGCTTCTAGACAAAGTTCTTAGAAATTCTGTATAAATACAGAAACAAAAGTTAATAACCCTTTGATTAAAACATAGTAAAAGTTGTAAAATTGTTGTTAATATTCTGTCTTAGGAACTCCCAAAATTCATTTAGTTCCAAGGGAAGGCCAGGGACTTTTTCAGGCATGCTGCTATTTCCCTTGGATAGTTTTGTCTTTAAAAGGTGAAACACTAAATTATCCACTTGGGAACAGGTTCTGAAAACACACGATTCTTTAATATTATACATTGGGACTCCAGAAGAACTCAGACTTTATTAGTCCACTAATTCACAAGATTTTTTTCAGAGACATGGCAGATACTAAAGCATAGTCTGAATTTTACCAAATTTCCCTAGACCTCCTAGGTTCTGGGAAAACTTGTAGCTATAATATAAGGCTGAAATGTTTATTGTTACAGAAATCTTCCCAATATGTATTTAAGTTTCCTTTCCAAAGACAGCTTAACTAGCAGCAACAGGGTCTTTTTTAGGATTTTAATAAAAATAGTGATTTGAATGTGGGAAAATTAATCTAAACTCCTTTATGCTCAAAATATATTTTTTTCTGCCTCAGACATGCATCTTTTGACTTAAACTGTTTCCTCTTTAAGGGGAGAAGAGCAGCAGATAGGTAAACAGATAACATGTAATATTTTTCTTTGAAAAATAAACCCGAAATTATTTACAATTCCTTTCTCTGGATTTTGGTGAGACAACTACCGGGACAGGTGGTTGCCCCCCACCGCCTGTGGTAGCACTGCACTCACTGCTTCAGACTGTCAAGCCAGAGGGCTACCCTTGCTCCTGCTGGGCCGACAGGCTCCATCCAGGGAGCAGACGATGGTGACATTTGCTCCAACTGCTCTAGCGGTTCTGCTAGCTCTGCTTTTCTGCAAGGGTACACATGGTTCTGCGAGTGGGATTACAGAGAGCTCTCTTGTATAAAAGAGACTCTTAATCAGACTCCTCTACCTTTAAAAGCTTTCAGACTCTGACTTTTGCATTAGAAGACTTTAAATTATTGCCTTAGATTAGGGCAGCCACTCAGCCCATGGACATTTGGGTTTAATTAGTTGTCCAAGGCTTCTACACACTCTCATAATTGTAAACTCTCCTTCACTCCACCTTATAATGTGCAGGTGCTTTTAACAGAAATACCTCCCAAATACACCTGGCAACAATAGACACAAATTGAATAAGTTTCAGGCTCGCTTGATGGTGGGATTTTGTGCTTCTCTCTACTGGATAGCACTCATCACTAGCCATGATGTTTTAAACATACATTTTAAAGCTGTACATTTAAAATATATTAGAAGAAAGATTCTGAAATATTGAAATCAACCATCCTGTTGTTTCATAGTGATGAAATTAAAGGAAGTTCTGAAGGTCAAATCATCATGGCCAGTCTTCACGAACAAAGATTTGGGAAAGGTCATTACCCTTCGAGCCTGCCGGCATGTGGGATTTATTTTGGTGAGACACAGTGTTGCCGCTTGAAGCTGAGGCACCACCCACCCTTTAATTGCCTGAGATTTCTTTCTGCCGGGGTTGAGTGAGCTTGGACGGTGGCAGCGAGGTCCTCAGGACGTAGGTTTGTTTAGAGTGACCTTCTCTTAGATGGATGGCCTTACAGGGCTGACGAGCTCCATCTGCCCGGAGGAGTTCCCTGACTGGGAATCAAACCTGGGCCGCGGCGGTGAAAGCGCCACATCCTAACCACTAGACCACCAGGGGGCCCCTGAAGGTCAAATATTGAAATGACAATATTCAATTAACTTATGGGTAAAAGTCTACTGGGCTCCCTTTCTCCTAAGTGTTTTTAATGGAAAAATGATGAAAATTAGAATAGAATTCTGTGCCAAATATCAATTTAAAAATATAATTAAACCACATTATGCCCTTGGAACCTAGATCAAATTCCTTAGAAAATTCTTTGATGGTTGCAATATTATACAATCAGATAAAGTTCAATCAAAATCAGTCTTAAAGGAATGGAAATTTTTCTTACTATAGAAGCATACATTCAAAACAAATTTAGCTTCACCTGATATCAGATTATGAGTCAAACATTTTTTTAGTCTTTAAATCAAGTTAATCCAATTGGAAACATTAAAATTATTAAAAGAGCACATGAGTATTGCGTTGTGGAAGATTTACAAACAAATTGTAAAATGAGAGTTAGGAAAAATATGACTGAATTTGACATATTCTCTGGCAATTAAGACAATATAATTTCTATGCAGAACAGTCTTCTGTAGTAAGTTAGAGGATGCGTTCTATTTAGTAGTCTCTACTGTAAATATTTACATAATTGTTTTCTGTACAAGTCATTTATTAACAACCTATACTTTACTATAAATTCATTCAGCAAAATCCTAACCACCCAAAACTCATTTACAGTTTTTCCATTTGTTTCACTGGAACCATAATCTTGTCATCTATTTTTTGGAGATGTTCATGAGTCAGGGAAATTGTAGAAGCGTCCAATAATTTCATTTTTTAGAAAGGTGTTTGGCAGTAAGTGTAATCATTTACTTATCTGTTTAGGCTTCTCTGGATCAAATCATTAAAGAAAATCTGTGGTTAGTTCAGGAATATAAAATCTTTCATGAATACTACTCAAACAGTAAAAATCTCACAGAACTCTACAATAGTATCAGGTTGGAAGCTGCTGCTAGAGACCATCAGCTGGTAAGTGTTAATATTGCTCATTCAATTAATTGATCTCATCTCTAAAATTCAATGGATGCAACTATTTAATAACACTAGAATACTTGCAGTAATACCTATCACCATAATTCTCCTTTTCTTCTTGGATATTTCACACTTTCATATTTTCATTTTTTGCTTCCTTGCTGTGGTGGGGTATTTTATTATTTTTACAGAGCAGTTCCTGTAAGGTTCTCAAAATACACTATACATAGATTGCACTTTTGCATCTGAAACGTATTTATTTTTGTATATAAATACATTATACAGTAATTAAAATTTAATTTACCGTTACATAAAACTTCTCCATAAAACACTTTTTTCTGCTAATTATGAGTTTTATGACATTTGTGGTCAGACTCCATAAGCCTTTAATTCAGAAAACAGTCAAGTGAAAATCAAAAAAGGTAAAATCTATGACAATGGACTTGTATGATGGAGATATAGTGACCAGATGTAGTGTTTTATTGACTCACTAGATACAACTTAAAAGATTTTATTTTTTTAATTTAACAGTGCTGTGAAATCTGAGTCAAGTGATATTTTAGAATTCATTGTGGCAATGACAGAAAAAATATTTCCTATTTCTTTTCCTTCTGTTTATACATAGCTCTCAAAATAAAAGCTTATCAGTACCATTGTAATCAATTAAAAATATTGTTCAGGTATTTTAGGTTATTCCTTGATTGCCTTCAATGTCTACATTTTAGGAAATTAATATTCATTTAAGTCATGATCAGACCTTACCTTCATATCAGGAATTTCAGGTAAGAATCTTTATTAACTCAGATGATATGCAGGAACTAGGTTCTGATATATTGGCATTTTAGTCCATTTTCTGGATGGACAGTGTACAAGTGTTCAAATAAATACCTTAAATGTAAAATTCAGATTATTTGCTAGTACTTTACTCTTAGCGTCCATTATATGTCTTATGCCTGTAACTTCATCCATTGCTCATTTTTTCATAATACTGCAGTTAATTGTGCATTGCAAAATTCACTGGATTCAGTTTGGTCCTGACAAATATAAATAAGAAAATCCCTTCCAAGATGTTCTTATTAACTATAGAGCTCTTCTATATTTCAGAACAAAACTCTTTTTAAGTCATATATTCTTAGGCATAACCGCATTTGGAGAAAAAGTTGGAGATTCAAAACTTAAAACCCAAAAGAAATTATTGCCTATCTTTCTTTACCAAGTGAGTGTAAATTATGTTCTGTTGATATGACAGCAGAGGCAATGCTATGAGTATTGAAATGTTTTCTTAAAGGAACTGTATTATATCAGGAATATGAAGGGTTTTTTTCTGCATGAAGAATTAGGGCATACTCTCTTCCAGCCTCTCTACAGAGAAATATACCTGTGTAAGTTTATCAACTGGACCTTTTATTTCTTTGGATGTAAGAATATCTGTTTTCCACATTCTCAGAATTTAATAGTTCTTGGTAATATCTGCAAAAAAGATTTTCCACTCAATAGTTTACCTCTTCTGGACATAGTATGGATGATATTATCATGCATCTCAATGATGTAGTCTGGAAGCAAAAGAAAATTGCAAATGAGCTGGCATATATTATTGCTTTTTCCCCTCTCAATTTGAATACAATAAAATAAACATAGTAAAATATAGCAAAATAGCAATGCAATACCAAAAGGATCTAGTTTCATTAGCAATGCTATATAATAATATTTTTTGCTTTTTAAAATCTTGTTTATGAAGAACATGGTTATGAAGCCCCTATTCCATAGGAGCTTATAATCAGCGTTACAATACATATACTAAGCTTGAGGTAGGAATTAGTGATGGCAATGTTTAGAACTTTGGACAGTCCTCCGTGCCTTTCAGCAGTGGTATGTGTATGAAGAATGGAAATGCTCCTCACAATAGTAATTTAAGGATTACAGAGACAACTTAATCTAATTTCCTTTTTGATAACTCTTCATTTTGTTAAATGAATAGCTAGTCCAACTACTAAAATATTCCTACCATTCTCACATAAAGAAAGTATTTAAGAATTATGACAAAAGAAAAAACCATATTGATTATATACACTATCTATGAAAAGATACATCTTCTTCTCAGGTTTTTGCTAATAAGTGAATTACATCAGCAACAGAAAATCAGTTCTGGAGAAGTGTCAAAGTAACAATTTTTATTGGTGCTCTGCTATATATTTGCACTAGTACAATGAGAGGAACATTCAAGAAGTGTGTTTATCCTCAATTCCTGAGAAGTTGCTTTCCTATATATATAATTACTCAAAATTAGAAGCCAATTTTTACTAATACTTCTGTAAAAGCAAATTGACTTTTTTATTCCATTTTTTTATTATTATTTTTCTTCATTTTAAATGGAAAACACCCACAAAGTGTTCAAGGCCAGGCTGGATGGGGCTTTGAGCAACCTGCTCTAGAGGAAAGTGTTCTTGTCCATGACAGAGGGTTTGGAACTAGATGATTTTTAAGGTTCCTTCCAACCCAAATCATTCTATCATTCTATGACTCTAATGTTTAATTTGATCAAATATCAGTGTAGTCAAATATCACTCTGAACAAGAAAAGTACTTCCCTATAGTTCTTTCAGATACTCTTACTCTCAATTTGTTTTTCTTAGTGGTTTACTCTGAAACAACACTTCCCTCCACAAAGACATTCTTCATATATCCCTTACACCTATATTTTCCAATGGGATGTCTGTCATGGTGAATGTGCTAGCTTCATTGTAAGATTAATCACACATTTCCATTTTTTTCTAGATGACTTTGGAATAAACTCTAATAAGTCTTGATAATGTCTTTAAAGGCATCCTATTTAGTACCAAATATTTTCCCTAAATATTTGGGTTTGAGTGTAGACACTGTGGGGGGTTTTGTTTGGTGGTTTTTGTTTGTTTGTTTTTCAGTGATGATAAGTTATTAGTTTGCACCTGTATATTGTGGTGTGGTAAAATCCTCCGTGTATGAGATTTGTAGATTAGTCTTTATGTGGTAGACAGCAACAAAATCTTGCTTAATACAGCTTCTCCCCTGCAAATATATAGCAGCAGTTTCTTCTGGAAATCTCAATGCGCTAACATATTTGCACCAGGAATATGATTATGCTTTAAAAACAAATCTAGTCATTTACCATATCTTTCTTTTTGCACTGAATAATCTTAGAATATCTAATCAATGAGCAAAATTTGATACTTCTGATGTGTTGTGCTAATGTGTCAGTGGTTATACTGCAGACATCAACTTTTGTTCTCATAGTTAAATTAAGGAAGTTTTCCAAATATAAAGGTATGGAATGTCATTATAACTTAAGAACTTGTATCTGTCCTTAATACTGCAAGCAACATTGTCTTACAAAACATTGATAATTTGGTTTTTTTCACATAACTTTTATGCAAAAGTTATGTGAACTATAATGCAAACTATAATTGCTTTAAAACATAAGTAAAATATTCATTTTTGTATTCACTATCTGCTATCTTCAGGTGGTCATGTTATAGTAATATTTTGGAGGGAGGAGGTCTATTGATTCCTGTTTCTTTTTTAATTTTTTTCTTTTACTTTCTGGATAACTGACATATTATTGCAGTAAAACATATGTAGGGTCAATTCATGCTGAATAGTTATTAGAAACCATGATAACAAAAGTCATTACACTTCAGTTCAGTTTTGACAGTAAAATTTCTGCAACATTATCACAAATCCTCATGCATTAGTGCAATGATCCTTACTATAGTTTCGTATTAGAGTCAAAAGACTGCTGTAGCATGCTTGATACAAAAAGTCATGCAAGTCAAGTGAAGTTCTTTTATGCTTTTATAGATAACATATTTTCACGTCTTGCTCATGCACATATCTGAGTCTGAGCCCTCTTGGATATTTCTGTCTTTAGTATATTTCTCATCTGGGATATGACTGTTTTAAAATAACTGTCTCTGTTGTTTAGAAAGGCCAAATAGAACCCAAAGTAGACCCAACAATGGACATGTTTCAGTTTAGGCAATGAATTCCTTCTGATTTTGTTGTTTCTGTGCACTGACCTAAGAGAAAAAAAAATTAGTTTTCTCATATAAACAAAAAATAATTTCTATCTCTAAATTGTGGTTTTAGTTCACTTATCTGGAGATCTTGGTTTGCTTCATGTCATCACAGTACTAACAAGGAAAGCATGGAAAAAGATTTTGACAAAAATTGCCCCACCCATTCCCAATTTTTTACAAATCTTAAAGGAAAAATAAAACTCTCAAGGATTCATTGTGAAAAAAAAATTATCATAAAAGGAATGCTTATAAAAATAATAAAAGAATTATTATTATCTATTTCTAAATTTAATTTTAAACCAGCTTTCAGAAATATTTTGATTTGGAACAGAAATGGGTAATTGAGCTGAAATTTGGGATTTGTTAATATAACAAGACTAGATAGTAGCTAGTAAGCAAAAATACATAATTTACAGATTTTTTAACTGAAGTTCTCTTTGCATTTAGAGTTTTGATACTATAATACATTGACAGAATAGTCAGCTTTATATGAAAATATGAGGGAAAAAGAAGTATCTTCAATAAAGTTTTCATTATGTAATTTACTAAACTTTCTTTGAGCTAATTATATTTAAACAATGTAAACGTCAAGTTGATGTTAGGATTAAATTTGAATCAATAACTTAATAAGTTCAAATGACTCAATCAGAAAATTAATGCAACCTACTGCCAAACCAAATTATTATTCTGATAGCAAAAGGATGTTATCAAGATAATTTATGGAGAAGTTGGTCTCCTTTCCAGATGCATCAGCCACATCAGTGGCTAATCAGGTCAGAGTTTTGATGCACAGTCCTGCACCACAGAATGCAGTGAAATCTGTAGGACATCAGTGTTAGTTCAATCCTACAGTCACCCAGGAGAAGGTGTCCTATTTCAGCAAGTGAAATCTCTTTGTTTTGGTTTGCTGGTTTGTTTTTTTACTAAAAGAAATGTAGATATTTGA